AGAGTCGAGTTCCCATTTTTCTCTTCTTTTTTTTTTTGCATATGTATGTCTTCCTGATCCATTATCGATAAAGCATTTAGTTCTTGCTTGAAGCGTTTTCTCTCGTGCTGTTTTTGGAATTTTTACGTTTTGCTGGTGCAATTTAATTTTTAAATTTTTTTATATGGTCTAATCGAGTGAAAAAAGCGTGAAGTTTGTACATAGATTTGGCTGCCTCCAGAAATTTGTTGGGTGTTTTTAGCGGGGGTGGGGCTAAATGACAATTTTCAGCACAAGATAGGCTATAAATGGCGGCAAATTTATATTGTGGAGGAAGAACTCAGAAAAAACCCGGATAACCACCAACCCACGAGAAACTACTGGAAAGCTTTCTCACATACCCACATTGGCCAAACCCGAGACTTGAACCCACGCTGCCTTAGGTGAGATGACAATGATCCGTAATAGTGAGCGCTTTAGACCATCTAGGAACTGGCACAAGCCGATCTTACTAAAAACACTGCCCAGTTCAGCTGTGTTTGCTAAACTTTCGTAAGACACATTGATCTTTATCGTTTTATAGAATAATTGTGACGCGAAGTTATCAAAATGTTTAAGAAGTTGCATTTTAAAATTGTGAGCTTGAACAAATTTTAGTCTTTTAAATGTTTGATATGGCAACATGGTTAAGGTGAGGTGACTAATGTAATGCTTGAAATCAGATTGCAGAAAAAGGCTAAAGTGCTAAACGTTATCTTTTCTATATTATTATCTTTCTTCAAACAAAAATAATTAAATACGAAATATATCACTTTCAAGGAAAAGTTCATTATAAAATTGATTTTCTCGTGTAAAGGCATTCAGCTTCTAGTTACTGTTATTCCACTATTAATTTATTTCTACAGATTTTCATTTTCTCCGTTATAATACAAGTAAAACTCATTTATCTATACAAGCTTAGCATTTGTGGTACATGTATATCGTTTAAGTTTTAGTTTTAATTTTCTCTAATATTTTGCTTTACCTTGGCATTGAAAACATTTTACAACTTGTTTCACCTCAGGTGCATGTTTTGTCTAGCACGTTGCTCATTCGTAATACATTTCCTCCTGTGAGGAGTCTGTGAGTAGTGTATTACATACGATTAATTGTACCATTTACTTGTGCGGTGTAATTCCAATTCTCGCTGCTGAAAGGAAGGTCAGAAGAACCAAGGAAACGGGATCTTCAAAAGTGTCTAAACACTGGGATAACGTACTGGATTTTTATTTAATCTGTGTGGTATAAACATAATTTCAACGCCTTTCATTCTTAACGGATGTATACAATTGTACATTACAAATTTGATGTCCAGGAAAAATGCATTTTTCTGCCCCATTGTAATTATCAATCTGAGTTTAATCAGAGCTACACACGGAGGATGTGGCAAAGTTCGAATTATGTGCTCCTTGAGGAAGTATGTCAGAATAGATTGATACATCATCGGGTACCGTTGCCGGGACGAGTAATTCGGTTAGTGTTGCGAATATTTGCAACACTGGAGGCATACATATGTCCATGGTTATTTGGTATTTAATTCACAATAAGATGTGTTTCTTAAATTTTCTTTTTGTAACAAGGAAATAAACTATATGTTAATTTTACTAAGTTTGCTGGTTTACTTTTTTTGCGTTACATAGTTTAAGGCTTAGAGTTCTCTCTCTCTCTCTCTCTCTCTCTCTCTCTCTCTCTCTCTTGTCTGATGATTTGGCTGGTTGGTTGATTATTATTATTATTATTATTATTATTATTATTATTATTATTATTATTGACACAAACTTCTAGTTTATCACAGAGAGGAAAATGTATTTAATCGCTCCTTCATTAAAAAAAAAAAAAAACAACACATTGCCCAGGCAAAGCAATAAAAACAAAATTACGTCCAACGGATGGGACAGGAGTACATGTATTTACAAGTCAGTGAAAAAGTGTTGAATCAAAATCTAATAAATCTTTCCTTATCTTCCAGATCTCTGAAGAAAGCTGGTGCTGTTGGTGGTCATGATAAATGACTATACTGTCAGAAAAATGTCTACTGAAGTGCTACACGAGCTCGAATTTTAGACTTTGCCCCTATCGCACTGGGTATCAAATATCTCCCTTCCGGTTAGTATTGGGCTCTAAGATTGCTTTGTGCTACTCCATCAGGAAAATGCAATCCCGTGATAAGTGAGAAAACGTATTGCCGTCAGCTGTTCGCACATTCGTTGTCTTTTCGGGCGAGTACATTTAAATACGTTTTCTCTCGCTTAGCCTCATTTAAATGATATGACATTATCTATGAACAATAAGGAATAATTAAAAACAGTTTCGCTAATCTTTGGTTAAATATAACTGCTCAAGTGTATTCAGAGTGTACAAAAATAGATTACCCAAACTTGGTTTTTCTTTTTTCCGGTCATGACAGTATTACCTGGACAAACCACTGATGTTCGTACTATGGTTACGTATTAGTAGACGAAAATTTAGAGGTCAAATGTTTCTTATTAAATACTTTTTTTATCTTATGAACCAAATCTAACATGGCGAAATATTTTTAAACAAATAACTACCAACTGGTGCACAAGATACCCACGTTCTGCGTGTGATAAATTTCATCATTAAATATAGGCAAAATTTTAATTTTCTTTTTCAAAAAAAAAAATTAATCCTTACTTTTAGGACTGTCAGCTGTTGTGTAACTGAATTTCTTTACTCGAGGATCTTGGGTCGGACAGGGAAAAATTTTTCTAAATAGGAAGATAAAAAGTATGCTCAGGGATGAAAGTTTGAAACCGAAAGGGATGGTGGTTTGATACCGAAAGGGATGGTAGTTTGATACCGAAAGGGATTGTGGTTTGATTCCGAAAGGGATGGAAGTTTGATACCGAAAGGAATGGTGGTTTAATACCGAAAGGAATGGTGGTTTGATACCGAAAGAAATGGGAGTTTGATACCGAAAGGGATGGTGGTGGTTTGATACCGAAATGGATGGAAGTTTGATACCGAAAGGGATGGTGGCCTGATACCGAAAGGGATAAAAGTTTGAAACTGAAAGAGATGGGAGTTTGATACCGAAAGGGATGGTGGTTTGACACCGAAAGAGATGGAAGTTTAATACCGAAAGGAATGGTGGTTTGATACCGAAATAAATGGGAGTTTGATACCGAAAGGGATGGTGGTTGTTTGATACCGAAAGAGACGGAATTTTGATACCGAAAGGAATGGTGGTTTGACACCGAAAGAGACGGAAGTTTGATACCGAAAGTGATGTTAGTTTAATTCAGAAAGGGATGGTGGTTTGATACCGAAAGAGATGGGAGTTTGATACCGAAAGGGATGGTGGTGGTTTGATACAGAAAGAAACAGAAGTTTGATACCGAAAAGGATGGAAGTTTGATACCAAAAGGGATGAGTTTCATACCGAAAGGGATGGGAGTTAGATACCGAAAGGATGGTAGTTTGATACCGTAAGGGGTGGTGGTTTGATAAAGAAAGAGACGGAAGTTTGATACCGAAAGGGATGAACATTCAAGACCTTAACCGATATACTAGGGGAGACAGTTGACACAATTAGCAGACTGTATACCTTAAGTAAATGGGATATGTAAATTAGACTAAATTAACAAATTATCAACACGGAATGATGCGATTTCTCAGACTTTCCGGGTTTTTTATTAATCAATTTTGGTTCTTGACGAAGAAATGTATGCATTTTATTTTTATGAGGTCTTTTTATTAGCTACGATTATATTTTTGCCTGATCACGACGTCAATTCAGTTCACGATGACGCAAAAATGCTGGCCAGTGCGTCTGGAGTGTCAGAGGTTATCTCAAAGCAATACTGTCACAGCTCTTAATCATCGGTCAGGAAATGACGAATGATGCACACTTGTTATTGTGTAGATGAATGATATTGAGGAGCCAACATTCAAGTGCAGGGATTTAAAATTTCATGATGTATCTATCTTTCGATCGATCGATCGAGAGAGAGAGAGAGAGAGAGAGAGAGAGAGAGAGAGAGAGAGAGAGAGAGAGAGAGAGAGAGAGAGAGAGAGAGAGAGAGAGAGAATGCTCATCCAGTTTTGTAGTTGTGTACAAGATTGACAGATGATCCTGTGCTTGAAAGTGCTGAATTTTTACGCTGCACAATAAACTTTTTCAGCGTATTCCGTTAATGAGTCATCCGTGAACTAATAATTGTTCCAAAATTATTTAACACCATATATTTCTTTTCCTACTCACATTTCAGAATTTCCCCCTCCACCGGCAAAGAAACTAGGTGGAGTCCATCTCGAGGAGTCTCACACTTTGCACTTCAAATGTACCCTTCAACGGCCAAAGCCTTCCGCAAGTTTTGTATGGTAACATCCCCTATCTACCCTCCCTGCACTTCTAATTTACCCTTCAAACTTGGCGAGATCTGTGGGATTACAACCCCCCCACACACACACACATTATATTACAATCTGACTGCTGTATACCCCCAAAACACGTAAATTTATGCTTGACAACTTGCTCTCCATGAAACACGGGTATCTTGAAAAGAAAAAAACATGCTTTTCCATGATATAACGGCACCATTGGTCAAGTGGTTAAAGCGTTCACCTTGAATGCAAGAGGTCGCGGGGTTGAAACCCGACTGAGTCATACCATAGTAAAAATGGTACTAACAGCTGCCTCGCCTGGCGCTCAGCATTATAAATATATGTAAAAATAATCCCTCTCCTATTATATCTTAGCGCAACTACCAACTCTAATTGTGGATTCTCAAAGACATATGAAACGGGAATGAAGATTTTGTTTATCAAATCCTCTTTATATTAATACCAACTCTACCTGTGTCGCAATAGCATTTCCTGAAATAAATGGAAAATTATAAAAATGTTGTCAACATTTTCACTTCAATACTAGTCTAAGCCTAATCAAGACTGGGTCCAGATCAAGTTACTGGAAACATCAAACAGAATAAGGACAAGAGCACATATAAAGTAAATATGCCCAATACGTGACCTAGTGGTTAAAGCGCCCTCGTCGAATGGGGGAGGTCGCGGGTTCGAACCCCGGCCGAGTTATACCAAAGACTTATAAAAAATGTTATTAACTTCTGTCTCGCTAGGTGCTCAGCATTAAGAGATTGTATTATGATTGGTAGGCCTGGTGTCAGGATAATGTGACTGGGTGGAATATGATGCTACATGTCTGCGGCATGATGCCTCGGTGATAGACATCACTATAAACTGCCACACTGCAGACCCGTAGCGATATGACTAAAAAATATTGTTTAAGCTACTTTAAAAATTCAAATTTTCTCTCTCTCTCTCTCTCTCTCTCTCTCTCTCTCTCTCTCTCTCTCTCTCTCTCTCTCTCTCTCTCTCTCTCTCTCTCTCTCTCTCACACACACACACACACACACACACACACACACACATAACACGTAGCTTTTGACACTGACTTTAGAAAGGCTAATCGCCAGGTCCCCTTGGATATTTTATATTATTCGTTGTTATTGTAGAGTTCAATGCCATTTTTCAGCAAACGATAGGCAATACATGGCGGCCGGTATAAATGGAGAAAGGAAGAACCCCTGAAAACCCCTAGAAAGAACCACCGACACACTAGAAGCTACGAGAGGTAAGCTACCATAAAATCAATTTTAAGTGGACGTTGTCTACATAATCCCCTTGACCAAAAAAGGATCCAAAAAAAACATCAGAGAGAGAGAGAGAGAGAGAGAGAGAGAGAGAGAGAGAGAGAGAGAGAGAGAGAGAGAGAGAGAGAGAGAGAGAGAGAGAGAGAGAGAGAGTTATACAAGGAAATACAATTTAAAAACTGCTATCATGTAATTTGAAACAGAATGCATTCTTAGGAAAAGGTACTTTAATATAAATAAATAAATTCATTGTAATTGAATAAACATTCTAGGAACCTAAAGTACACCAAATAAGTGGCAGGTGTATGCTTGAAATTCCAAGCTTTTCTGCTCTAGCAAAAGTGCAAGCCTGTTTATTTCATTCCGTGCTAAACATGGTATAACATAAATAAATGTTCACGCACATGAAAATCCATCCAAAGTCATGTCCGATACATTATTGCTTCCAATAAGAAAATCTTCAGTCAATGATTATTTCCTTTTCAAAAAGAAGGGACCATATAACCGACTTTTTCAACGTTTTGGACATGTACAAGATTAATTTAACGTCACAAATGTTCTCTTGTGTAATATTCCATTTTGTAATGGAAAGATCAACACCATGGTTACGTGATTCTTTAAACTATTCGTATCGGAAGAAAGAAATGAGCTGGCAGTTGGGCTGTGGAAGGAATACGCAAGGATTTGTATAGAAAAATTATTTACAAACACAAAGAAACATACACCTGCAAACTCGTGTAATTTAAAGAAATGCTTATACCTATATATGTTATAAATTTAGATTTAGGCAGCGTAATATGTACATTTTTCCTAATGTACAGACAAGTTGCCTTATTAATGAGGTCGAAATGCTCATCTAGTGTAAGTCATCTAGATCTTAACTACTACGGAGATTCTTTTTGAAACGCAAACCTCACCAGCTCAACCACTCGGTGACGATGTTACACTTCTCTGGAAATACGTTGAAGAGAATTGCCTTTTCCTTGTCTGATTGTGTCTGGAAGTACGTTGAAAACAAGAGTCTTAACCTTCTCCGATCTGGTCTCTGGAAGTCTGCAGAAAAGTAAAGGTCTTAAACTTGGCCGATCTGGTATCTCAAAGCACTTTGATAATCAATGCCTTAAACTCGTCCGATCTGGTGCTAGGGACATGATTACCATGTCATTTCTGTCAACACTGTGCCCAGTCTTACACAGTGACTGATAAAAATGGCATGAATCTCTATCCGATCTAAGTCCTCATAAATATTTTCCTGGAAGCTTCACGAATCTGTCCAATCTAGTATTTGGCCGAGTGTTCGAAACCACTCGAAGTTACGGATTACTGTCATCTCGCCTCTGTTTGCGTGGGTTCGAGTCTCTGGCTCGGCCAATATGGGTATGTGAGAAAGCTTGCCGGTAGCTTCTCGGGGATCTGTAGTTCTTTCCGGGATTTTTCCCGGGTTTTTCCTCCACAACTTATACTGGCTGCCATGTATAGCCTATTTTGTGCTGAAAATTGCGTTAAACCCTATAACAACAATAACAACTACAACTGTACTATCTAGGTCCTCATAAATGTTTTTTGGAAGCTTCAAGAATCTGTTCGATCTTGGTCCTCATAAATATTTTCCTGGAAGCTCCATGAATTTCTGTCCGATCTAAGACTTGAGGATAGATTTATTGGGACCTCCTGCTTTTGTCCCATTTTGGCAACAAGTTCTCGAAATTTCATGCAATTGGAAAGCGTTCATTGAGTCAATATTCCGAATTGACCAAAGAGTAAAATGTAAGCTAGTAAACTATTTTGCTGTGCTGTGTTGTGACCATACTGAAAAGTGTATAGGGTTTATGAAGCTTTCAATATTGTCACAACACACCACAAAGAAATTGACCAGAACTTATAGCATAATCGAAGCCGTGGTCTTTAAGGTAGGTTATATAAGTTTTGTTGGAAGTTATTTTTATGCACTTATACATACAAAAATGCGTTATTGTAGAACGCAAAACTACTGCAATTTGAGAAGGGGAGACGGAGGGATACAATTAAGAATGAAAGCTCGTTTCACATTCATAGCAATAAACAAGAAGTTGTCTAAATGAAGAAAATGCAACATTCTTCGGGAAAAAAAATAACTTAATTAAAATGCATTAAACAGTAAAATACTAAGAACGTTTCTGTTTTTACAAATCATATTCTAACGTGTACAATTTTGGGAGCTAGAAGATGATTTTGCTGTAAAGAAACGATGCTCTGTTTACCGGGAAAGGGGTAACTAGAACTGTGTATATGATCCAAAACCTTAAAAAAAAAATACTTCCCAGATGTTATATGGAGACGCTTGAAGGGAAGCGCAAATAATGGTATATGTTAAACGTCATTACACTGAAGATGATTAAGCGCAGAAGCGATAGCTTGATTTTTGTTATAAGAACTATAGAAAACTATAACTTGACCAATTATGTTAACAGTATACACGTGAAATAAACAGTGAGATATCGAAATGCTTCTGGACATGTGTGAATCCCAAATTACCGATATTCCATATTCCACAGGCAGAAACATCAGTTTGCAATGTATTAAATAGAAAAAAAATATCCTGCTATAGGACATATCAAAAGGAAATTTATTAACTATTAAAATCTTTGTTATATCTCGTTGGAAATGTACGCATGAAGTTATTTAAACAATGGTCAAGGATACCTTTCTTCCAACAATTCACGAATTTTATGAATAAAATATTTAAGATAACCTCAAACATTCCAAACATTTAAGAATTCTTAAAAACGTAAGATTCCTCCTACGAAACAGGCAATACCTGACAGTATAATATTTTACCTTTAACAAGACAGATATAAAGGTACGGCATTATGCAATAAATACACATTCGTCTCGCTTCCTGTGCTTCCTCTAGATATACGCATTGGTATAAATCAGAGACGGCGTGAAATCAGAAAGAACCAAACTATGCTAGTAATGCACTGGTGTCGGTATAGGTGCACGTGTATGTCTCCTGCTTATATTGGAATTCAGGAATGACTGTGTAGGTAGAAGAGAATTAATTACCAGATCGACATGAGTGTGTGTTTGCCACGCACAAGTTCATGTACCAGCGACTTAGTGGCATCATTTTTTTTTTATTGATGTGTGCTTGGTAGGAATTGGCATACGGACTGGTACATACTGGCAAGACGATGGGTACTGTTTACCCGCGGACCTTTGTTCGAATCTTCTTAGAGAACGAATTAAAGTTTCTAACCAGCATGATAACAGTATTTATATTAAATATTAATTAAACCTAGAATCATCAAGCATTCTCCTTTAGAATTCATGGATCGCACAATACGAAATATAAAAGATATAAGCATTCTTCTTTCTTGTAGCTTTCTCTATTAGACCCCAGGCTAGTAACATTATTGTGTGTATAGATCCTAAAAGTTTTCTACTTTCTGGACATTGTCAAGCACCTGCTAAGTGTACAAAGGACCCATAATGTTTCTTTCTCCATAAGGTGAGCCTCAAGTAAAATTATATAATTCCAGTTGTTAATAACTGAATTTTATGCAATCCGATTAGATAAAAACGGTCATGTGATGCTGATCTGGAAGTTTTACACCTATGTAAATTCTGTGGACTATTTATTGGTTCAACGTTTCCATGTCATTTTATTTAAAACTTTATCTATACAAATGCCTTACCAAAACCAAATAACAAGCCCCCACCACCACCACCACCAGCACCATGCACACCCCTTTATTTCCGTTCAAATTTTGCAAGCCTGATAAAAAAATAAAAACAAGAACAACTCCCAATAGAAACTAAACAATGCAATCGCATTCTCTTCTGCACTACAAACATCACCCCTTTTGCCAAAGAAAGCATATGGCAGGCTTTACTAGCCAGTCATTATAAATTATTGCTTTTGTCTTTGACATCATGTCCCTACATTTGTTATTCAAGGTCAGGATCATACGACCAGAAAAGGGATCACGCTAAATATGGACTAGTTTTGGTTTTTGCTTTTAGCTAGCAGAAATGGGACTATGTCTTCTAGCGCAGTGAAGATGCAACTGAAAGAAAACAAGGAGTTACCTAAAAATGAATGTTTAGTTGGAAAAAAAATCCGCTGAATGACGTCAGACAGGAAATTGAAATTATAATGGTTAAATGACCATGGTTGGATATTTATTTAATTGCATATTGTTAAAATATCATTCATAAAGTTAACATATTTACTTTGTTGTTGCTGTTGTTGTTGTTGTTGTTTTTGTTGTGGGGCTTAACGCCATTTTTCAGCACACGATACATGGCGGCCAGTATTAATGGTGGAGGAAGAAACCGGGAAATCACCGGAAAGAACCACCGACCCACGATAAGCTACTGGCAAGCTTTCTCATATATCTACATTCGCCGAATCTTAGACTCGAACCCACGCAGACAGAGG